CAGCATAGCTGGCTGGGGAATTCTGGGAGTTGGAGTCCACACATCTTAAAGTGGCCAAGGTTGAGAGACACTGCTCCAGAGTATTAAAAGATAGGACTAAAGGCTTAACAGCGCCCTAGAATCACAACAAAAGCACTTGAGCCCACAGCAAACACAAAATGGGGAAAAGCACAGCATGGCAAGCAATGGAGATCTGATCTCAGCATCCCCCACATACTGAACTCGAAAAGGTGTGTAGCATGTTTAAAACAAACCCCGCTTAATATTAAGCAGAGTTTAAGGTTCAGCCATTAGAGAGCCAGTCTGATGCCAAGGTTAAGTCAACAGACTAAAAATCAGGGGGTGCTGAGTTCTAGTCCTGCCTTAGGCACTTAGCCAGCCGGGTGACCTTGGGCCGGTCCCTCTCTCAGCCCTAGGAAGGAGGCGGCCAGAGCAAACCACTTCTGAAAAAATCGTGCCAAGAAAACTGCAGGGACTCGTCCAGGCAGTCACGCCAGGAGTCAACACTACCTCAAAGGCATTTTTTTTAAAAAAGGGTTCAGCCATAAAGCTGACCCCCAGCTCATCAAAAGGAAGACAACTTTTCTATGTCCAAAGGGGGAAAGACTCGGCAATGGAAGAACAAATTGTAAAGTTGATGGAGTCGGCTGAGATGGCAAAACTGACAGCTTTGATTAGAGAAAAGACATTGGATAATTTTAATGCTAACTGGAAGCCCCTTTTGGACTTTTTGCAGGAGATAGAAAAAAAATAAAGTTATGACATATGGATTAGTATAATTAATAGATTACAGAAAAAAACGGATGTTAAGCTGAAATCCTGCAGTAAGCGTTTAATGTATGTTTTTCTGATATCTGCTGTAAAAGAAACCAGAAAGCCATTCCTTTTTTTTTTTGTATTTCTATTTCTGCTTTTTTCTGCACTTTTGCTTTCTTTCTTTCTCTTTCTTCTTCTTCTTTTCTATTCTCTTTCTTGATTATTAGTCCTTATTGGTTTTTATCTTTCTCTTTTTAAAAATTTAGTACAGTTATTATAAAAAAAAAAGGAAGACTTTCAACCGCGGCAGAGTGAAGAGCACACGGACAGGATTGCGCGTGACTCAAGTCCATCTCTGCAATGCCCAAAGGAGTGTCATGGTGGAAGGTTCCAGGGAACCCCACAGGTTCAGTCTACGGGGCTTCCTGCTTGGCACCCAGCCAATGACCCCTCAGTTCACCCCCCAGGGCATCTACCTGTGGACCAAGGGGGACGTTCCAGTGACAGCCTCAGCTCACCCAAAGCAGAGCTGAGAGCCGAGATGCCCGACAGGCCCTCTGCAGAAGCCACCGACAGCCAAGAACGTGTCCCAAACGTCCTCAAATGCATCTGGGCACAAACTCTGTGAGTGACCGCTCCCAGTGCTTCCGAAACAGGGCCCTGCTGGAAGCCATTTTAGAATGAGGGGCCATCCCTTGGCAGCTTGTCCTCCTCAATAGCCCATGGAACCCCTCTGTGGGTAGGTTTCCTTGAAATAACTCACGAGAAAAATAAAAAAAAAACAAAACTCTGGCCACGTTACCTCATCAAATAAACTCTCCAAAGAAATGGGGTCCACTTTACTGTAGGCTTTCCAGAGATCCAGACTGACATCCATCAACTGCAAAGAGCGAGATTGTGTCAGAAGTCGCATAAAGGCTTGCGGAGGGGGGAGGGGACAATCTAGGCAGTGCAGAAAGGGGAATCTATGAGCATGGAGTCTCATGAATGGAGCTTGTCAGACCAGGGAGGGCTGGGGTCTAAACAAGAGGACACTGTAAGTAGCAGAAATGCACATTAGGGACACGCAAGAGCGCAACCCGAAAGCCCACGAAAAGGAACCATTCGCAACTCTGGCTGGCTGAAAGACGTGGCTTTGTCTAGCCTGAGTTCCCTTCACCCCAACCCTTTTCAGCTAGAGCTACTAACAAGCACACCATTATGGCTGGAGAACAGTACCGCGGGCAAGAGGCACCATTGTTTCTGAACACTCGGTAGCCACTCTGGAAAATAGCCATTTTCCCAGATTGGCAGGCCACCCAAAGACCTCGTGGCTGTTCCCAGTTAAAATGAAAGGGCCCTATGGAAGAATTCCTTGTCTTCGTTTCTTTCCATTGTGAGAAGGAAGGAAGGAAGGAAGGAAGGAAGGAAGGAAGGAAGGAAGGAAGGAAGGGACGGACAGACAATTGAAGAAAGGAGTTGTCAAAGGTTTTTACGGCCATGACCATGCAAGTGAAGGCCCACTTCTTACACACAGTTGCCATCTTGACTTTTTTTTCCAATACCACCCCCCGATGCCCGTGAGATCAAAGCTTTGAAATACAAGGGGCTCTGGAAAGGTGGGGTGCCTGACTCCCAATCCATCCCTCTGAACAGCTTTCTGAAAGCTCCTGGGGAAGAAAAGGGCTGTCGTAACTGGGCCAGCCCTTCCGTTCTTACCTCGTATTTCATGGTAAAGAAACCATCCCCGCCGATTCCCTCTAGAGCAAAGGCTTGCACTATTGGCCACTTTTCCACCACAAACATGTCAAATATCTGCAGGTGACCTGAAAGAAGCCAAGTGCTGATTTGCAACTTCTCCAATTTTAGTTTTAAATAAAGCAATGGCACCATGATGGATTTATCCAAAGAGGGTAGCTCCTTGTTCTACAGTAGTCAGGTTGGTTTCTGCAGTATTTTGAGAGTGATAAAAGCACAAGAAATGGAGTTCCTCATCCACCCTTCAAACTACAGGTAGTCCTCAACTTACGACCATTCGTTTAATGACCATTCAAAGTTACAACGGTGCTGAAAAAGGAGACTTATGGCCGGTCCCTGCACTTACAACCGTCACAGCGTCCCTGTAGTCATGTGATCAAAATTCAGGCACTTGGCAACCAGCACGTATTTACTACAGTTGCAGCGTCCTGGGGTCACATGATCACCATTTGCAACCTTCCCAGGGGCTTCTGATAAGCAAAGTCAATGAGGAAAACCAGATTTGTTTAACAACTGCATGATTCACTTAATGACCATGTCAAAAAGGTTGTAAAATTGGGCATGACTCACTTAACAACCACATCACTTAGCAACAGAAGTTCCAGTCCCAATTGTGGTTGTAAGTTGAGAACTACCTGTAAATGGTCTTTCGGAACAGGAGGTTGAATCCAACTGTGACTGGCCACTACTGGTAGCCTTGAATACTGCCTTCTGCCTTTCAGTTAAAATCTGTTGGGGAAATAAATATACCGGAAAGGGGCGGGGAAGAAAATCCTGTTTTGCACAAATGCAGTTTTGCTTGTCAGCAAACTCTGGATTTAATCCACTGAATTAAAAGAGCTATTTCTACACCTGGAAATTCTGGTTTAATCAATTTGCCAAAAAACGTGGTTGCATGATTGCACTCCTTGTGGCTTGCAAAGCACAGCTTACGTCTGGCGTCATGAGTGAGCCAAGTCACTATGGCTTAACAAAACATGATTAAAATAAACTAGGGCTTGGCACAATGCCTGAACCCAGCCAATGCTTCTTTGAGAGAAGAAAAATTATGTTGATCACCATTCTGGGACATCATTCTGGTTTGTTGCTCTTTGTGAACAACTATGAGTTTTTACGGTATGGGTGCCATGCTGAAGTCCCCTGAAAGACTACCCAATTAAAGCAGTTTGGTCTAGTTTCTGATTCAGGCTTCCTGAAGGTGTGGAATTCCAGGGAAAGAGCAATGATACAACGCTGTGGACATCTGCGCCCACGGATCCTTGTCAGGCATCCAGAGACAACTCCCAGGCATGGGAATCATGAGGTTAGTTGAGCTTCAGGTTTTGTGAAACACTATTTCAGGGGGTTATCCTCAGTTATTGTTTTTCTTTTCTTTTTCTTTTTTTCTGATTATATCTTCTTTTTTTTCCTCCTGATATATAGTCACTTCTGTCTTTTTGTTATTTATTCTTTTCTACCCAGAGCTGCTTTGGGAAGATGGTTGGCCAAAGGGATGGCCATGTAAATCGATAAGATAAGCTCCGTTTGAGTCACAAGTCCAGTGAAGAAAGTACACTTTTATACATTAACTATTTTAGGGTTTTTCAAACTTTTTCAGGCTGTGGAACCTTTTTGTGACTACCTATCCCTATGTCTGTCTTCCTGTCCGTCCGTCTGTCCATCCATCTATATCTTAGACCTCAGGGGTGTCCACAAGGAGGAGAGGTGGGTAAAAAAAAAATCAAAAAGGCAGCCTCAATCCAAGCCATCAAAGTGACACCATCTCGACTTTTTTGACTCTCTCTGCTGATAAGACCCTTGCCAGAATCCCTGAAGAGGCAAAGCTCTAGTGCTACAAAATTGGCTATGTTCAAGTTAACATATTTTTTTTTCCTCCCTTAATCTCTGATGGAATCCCATCGAGTCCTCGTGGATCCCTGGGGTTTCAGGGAAGATAACATGAAAAACCCAATCTATCTGACCTGGAAGGGCATGGCACATCTTCCTCTCCGTTTCATCACTCGCTGAATCCTTGAACGTCAATTCCAAGCTCTAACAGCAATTAGACCCAGGGTCTAATAGCAGCTGAATGAAAAGATGATCTAATCTGAAGTTGATGATTTGCAATCTGTTTTAGAGGCCAACCCAGGGTGAACAACATGGCCTTGGCAGAAATGACATAGTTAGCATTTAGCCAATGTGACTGCAGACAACTCTGCAATGGGTGTTGAAAACAGTGAACTCGCAGTAGTGCAAAGACACCGTTAGAGCTGTTTTTGCACTCTGGAAGAGATAAAGGCTTTTGGTTGAGATCAGTGAAGGCACTGGAGAGGTGGTTGTTTTTTTTCAACAAACCAAAAATAAGCGACTGTTATTAAAAGACATCTTTTCAACATCTCTAGGATGATTCCTAGCTGTGTTGCTCAGAAACCTATAGACTTCTGCTTTCTTGTTTAATGTTCATTAAAAAGAAAACAGATGACCACAAGGAGGGTTGCGCTTTCTTGCATCAGCTCACCTCGGCTATTTTCAGTAACCCGCTCCCCCCCTTCTCACAATCCCCGGGAAGGCTGTTCTGCTTAATATCCTGGCATCACATCATTAACAGGAAATCAAGAACTCAGTCTTTTCTGTTCTAAAAAAGGAAACCTACATAATAAAAAAAGAATCAGTTATTTCCTCGCATAAAAGAGGATTTATATGAAGAATGCTCTCATGTAAAGCACAGAGAATCTTTTGTGTTTTAATTTTACAGCGTGTGATTAACGCAAATTATGCCAGAGTTTCAATTACTCACTTTGGAGAGAATGCACGTGTGACTTTCCTTGAAATGCCACTGAAATGAATAGCAAAATCCAGATTTGAAAAAAGCGATATACTAGAACGTTGCCACTCTAACATAGATCGCTTGTGTTCAATTTGCCTGCAGTGCACTGGATCCCAAACAGACTCTATCTTCTTGTATATATTTAGGGTGGGTTGGAGAAAGTCGCATAATGGGAGTCTGCCACGTAATCCCGACAAACAGGAGTGTCTGCGTGCTGGATGGTTGGCATCACGGCTCTGGCTTCCAATGGGCATTACCAGCATGGGGAGAAAAGAAGACAAGCTGATGCTGTTTCTCAGTCATCCTTTTCCACCATCTTCTCTGCTGCACCCATAAAACAGGGTTGTCATCTACAGAGAAATGTCCGACTGGCGCCACTTCTCATGAACTGCAGCTATTAAGGAGCTGCTGTTGAAAGGAGGTGAGGGAGGAAGGAAAAAGTCCTGGCTTTGTCCAAAGTCCATTGTGGCAGTTGTACCGGGATGATGTAGACTCTCTCTCCTACCGCGTGAATCATCTCTGGTCCTGGGTTAGACTTCTCCATTGCACTGGCTTCCACAACTCTTCTTCCTTAGATTTCAAAGGGAGGTCCCCCAAATTTCCAGGGGTTCTTCTCACCAAGCACTCACCACCCAGCCTTGCCTGACTACCTCTTACTCTTAGTTTCGTTTCGACTTTCTCATGGTTCCCAAAGCTTCACTGAACCAATCTGTATGCTTCCTCTTTCCCCTTATGTTTTCCCCCGGGGATTATTTGTATTTATTTAAAAACTCATACAACTGCCTATCTTAGAACGACAATTCTGGGCAGCTCATCGTAAACTCTCAACTGTCAGTTTCCAAAGGCACTGTTCTTCTGATCAGAGAATATATATTTTTTAAATTACTTATTTGGGATACGTTTGCATTACAGAATGAAACCTGTTTTCAGCCTGCCATGATTATGGCCCAAAGAATGCATCTTTCTGAAAAATACAATTCCCAGACTTCTCCAATGTTAGTCTAGCGATCTTTGGCTCCTTCATCAGCCACACTTTGGGCCTGTTCTACCAAAATGTTGAGGGTGACATGCACCATCAGAGTTTTATTTTAACCAATCTTGGAGGAAGGCTGCATGGACTAACTGGATTAGAGTCACCCAGCAAACTTCACGAAGGCTGAACCTGAATCCACCTCTCTTAATTGGTTCATATCCACCAAGATCTAGGGAGTGGATATGATCCTACAGAGAAATATTTCTGCTTGGAGGTTTGGGACTCCCAACCCCCACAGAGCACCAGGTTGTCAGAGTCGGATTTAAAGGAATTGCTGTTGCACTGGCTTTCTCTTACACCTACCTTGTGAGCTGAAGGGAATGCCGATCCGGCTACAATCTCGAACCATATCTACAAAGCTGGAAATTTTAAATTCTTCAGCAGCCTCTTCATCTTCATACTGATGAAACCAAAAAAAAAAAAGGGCGGGGGGGAACCTTCTAAAAATAAAGAACTCAACACCAGTGTGGGGGGGGGGGTTCTTTCTGCATGATTACTATGACTTTTGACTCTAAGAAAAACAAAGTCCATTTAATCACCGCTTCCTGCTGATATAAAAAGCCGGCATTTGCGGATCCTCATAGTCTACATAATCTATTTCCACCAAGCAAAACAGAAATTCCAGTAATCCGTGGAAGTGCCTATTACATTAATTTCCATAATAATTACTGCTTAGCAGGACTCGCTTTTCCATTTGACAAAACAAATCGGTGCCCGTCAACCTTTCAAGCTAAAAGGCCCAAAAATCGTGCGCCTGAAACTTTGCAAGGCACTACAACCAACCTCTCCCACTGGCTGCTATTTCCTGCTCATTTGCACTGGAATACTGTGTCCTGAGGGGGACGTGTTCATGTCAAGCCATGCTAAACCATGGTTAATGAATGTACACTGAATAAACCACAACTGGGGAGGTTTGGAGAACCCAGTTTGTAAGCCCTAAGTGCAACTGCTGATTTGACGCATTGTCTAAATTTGCAGAACATGCTGAGTTGAAAACAAATACTTTGATTCTGTGATGCGTGAATCAGGCTTGCAAATACAGTGGTGACCTTGCCTTCATATTATTTATTAGATTTATATCCTGCTTTGCCTTTCCATGGCTAAAGGGAGGCTCGAACTTGGCTTTCCCCACTCCTAGTCCAATACCTTCACCATGATTCCATGTTGGCTCTCGGGTGGGATATTTATTTATATCTCAAATTTAGTCACTGCCCATCTCACTCAAAGAGCGATTCTGGGTGGTTTACAGTAAAACAAGAATAAATACTGATTAAAATACAATAAAAACAATGTGCATGAATAAATAACGTATTCCAAGGAACTGATGGTAAATGAAAATTATTAATCTATGGGAGCGTCTTCAGGGTGCCAGCCACCCCCCGGGTTGGCTACCCCTCTTCATGCTCCACGTGAGTTGGCAGAGCCAGGTCTTCACCCCTTTCCAGAAGGCCGGGAGAGTGGGGGCCCGCCTCACCTCTGGGGGGGGGGATGTTCCATAGAGCAGAGGTAACAGCAGAGAAGGCTCTCCTCCTGGGCCCTGCCAATCGACATTCTTTGTGGACGGGGTACGCAGCGTACCTCCTCTGCCTGGCCAGGTGGGAGGGGTTGATGTAATGGGGATATGATCATAAAATCAGCCTTTATGCCACACAGAACATGGTAAGCAAGGCATTTTCTGCACCGAAGTAAGAACAGTATTGCGAGCGCTCAAATCTGGCTCATTCTGAGTTACAGAAAGGACGCCTACGTGCACGCAGCTCTCTGATCGCTCCATGCCTCTGCTTTGAAATCAGCAAGCAGCTGCAAGAGACGCAGCTTGTGCCCCCTTGAGATCTCCAATTCAGAGCAAAGCTCAGACCAAACCATCTTTTAAAACAACAAAAACAAAACAAAAACAGAAAATCCAGCCTCACAGCCCTGTGCATCTCCAAAGCCCAAACGCCGTATTGTGAACAGTGCCAAGCTTGATAAAAAAGGCATTTTACGGAACCCGTTAATAGGATGGCATTAACAGGAAAGAGCCCTGGCACTCTTGAACAGTGTCATGACGAAGAGCCTATTCGTGATTTTCTATAAGCACTCTCCATTTAAAATCCATGGCTATTGTACTCTGGATATCTATTTCACAGATGCCAAAGACCCCTTGAACGAACTCATTTTATTGTGTTCGTGCTTTTCATTATCCAGTCGGCCCACTTGAAACATCGTGGTGGTGGGGTGAGGGTGGGAAAAGAGAGAAACAAAGGACCAGCAGAAACATTCTTTGGACAAAATTGAAATTTTAAAAGCCTGGTTTGAACTCCAAACCCCCTACGAATTTCTAAAATGTCTGTAAAACAAAGACCCAGGTGGCAGACAGGAGGCCAGCTGGGGAGAATTTGGAAAGCACCCACTCCGGGGCCCTGGAAACCAAAGGCTGATGCTGGATTGATATGACACCATGGAATTACAGCACTGTGATGAAAGACTCCAGCCACCCAATTTTCTTGTCTGTAAAAGTTCCGCTAGAAACAAGAAAAAGGAAGCCACTGAAAAACGACAAGCCATTTCCAAGAGGCTGACTGTGGGAACTTACTGCTCTTTCCAAAAAAGTTCCTTACTTTAGATTTAAAAAAAACTAAAATATTTCCCAGCAGCTGGGGAGAGATGCATCCCATCTTTTGCCTGCCCCGAAGCACCTTTTGGCCCTGGGATCCAAAGCAGTGCACGGTCTAACAGTACGATGGTAACGGCAAGAGGTTTCCAGCTAGAGATGCTGGGCCATGGTGTTGGGTACGCTGGATTCTTTGAGAACTCAGACTGGTCTCTACAATCTCCATCGCTTCCGTGGGAAGCCCCCTTCCGGTGGGATGTTCCAGGCTCTTCTTTCAGAATCCGCAGGTTTTCTAAGATGCACCATGGAAGGCCTGCAACTTATCTGCCCTCCATTGTGCCTGATGTCAGGTTATCAGTCCCATCTAGGCTAGCCCTGTCTTCACTGACTGGCATCAATTCTTCAGAAAAGGAGCACGAAATGAGAGATGTGTTTCCTTGAGGGGGGAGGGGGGCTGGCAATGCAGTATACATAGGCACCGAGTCCCAAGCTCAAAAAGATTTTCAACACTATTCTTTTTAGATTTGCGTCATTTGAACTTGAAACACGGCGCAAGATCACCCAAAGGAGCCTTCAGCCCCCAAACCCCGTTGGCCCTTCCCTTAGCAAGGTACCTAGATTGAAGGCACTGTCCAGTTTCCCTCCCATTTAAGAGCTGGACAACTGAGAGAGAGGCAGAAACCGCAGGACTGCATTCTAGCTCTGCAGATTATCTCTGGGCGTTTAGTCACTGACGCTCCCGATTTCACTGAACAGTCCAAACTTAACGAGCTTCATCTCCAATAAATCATGACTGTCCAGAACCACCAGGCCTTGAAGGCAGAAATGTTTTCATTTCTCTAAATCGCTGCAGCAAACCTCCAACACCTCCCTCCAAAACTAAGGAGGAGGAGTACGACTAATGTTTCAATTTAAAAGTGCCTATAAATGAATGGAAATTGGTAATTTGTGTGCAACAAAGACACCAACATGTGCACAAGGCCCTTTGCAGAGAGCATTCTTCCTGAATGCTTCTTTTACAAAAGCTCTAACGACAGATTGGCAGTTGTTCTTCAGGTTACTAGAGTCCCTAGAGGCTGAATGTTTTTAGTAAGTGATGGCCCTGGAGACGAGCCGAAAGCATTGACAGCAAATTCATTTTGGGCAGACCAGGAGATTCCGGATCAAGGTCTCTTCAATATTCTGGATGGCAAATGTTCATGCCGACCCCGAGATCACAGAATGCTCCTCTCAGTCATTTAGGAGATATCTGTCTTGGAGACCAAAGGAACCCCAACAATCCTTGCCCTCCTGTCTTAGGAACTGCAATGTAGGCTCAAGAGTTAAATATCTAATATTTAATCTTGTTCTTTCCATTTTTGCTTTCATCTCAGAGTGACCTAAATGGCAAGCACAGTGGCTATATAAGGATTCTACATGTCTTGGTTTTAGGTAGCCCCTTGATATAATGATTGGAATGAGGGATTAAAAATGCAACCTAAGCATACTTACGCGGAGCACAATGACATTCCATGTAAATCTGGAGAGGATCAAGCTGATGTTACGCAGATCTTAATTTTTAGTTGCGTTTAACTTCCCCCAACCCCTGCTCTCACTTTTTTCTAGAAGAGATTGGGGGGGGGCAGTCTCCCAGGGAGCAGAAAACATGCTGTTAATCTGAAATCCTGCATAGGAAGTCCAAACTTTCACACTCCAGTGCCCACGAGGGATGGTCTCAGACACGTCTTGTTCCTCCCCAATTTGTGGCTCATTCGCTCACCTCATTTTCAGTCAGGCAGTGGAAATGCAGATTTCTCCAAAATGCTACGTATGGCAAAAGATAGTTATAGTTGACAGGGTTGCAGTACAGATGGACGCTGTCTGGTTTAATTAGCAGGATCACATCTATGGAAACAAGAAGTCATAAGTAGAGGACTTGTTAAAAGTGGAGAGGGAGGCACCAGCAACATCTGCTCCCTTGAATGGAGGTTCATAACAGCCCGTGGCAACAGCCCTTTCTTACCATCAAGGACTTCTTCAGGAAATCCTGATTTTTCAAAGTCATTGTTGTTCTGGCTGTACAAGCCAAAGAGAAGATAGTTCGCTAGTTCCCGGCATCCTTCATTGTATCGGCTATCAATCCCTGCAAACAACAGGAAATTCAGAGTGTAAGATCCTAGGGAATGTTACTTGCTGTCTTGATTCAGGACAGCTGACAACTCAGGAAGCGGTTGAGATATCAGAGTTTGCTGCCTCTTCTCAAATATTTTATAGCGTTATCAGCAAACAGTGGACCCCCCACATTCTAAATCCACAATGAGCCATAATGAGTCTTATTTGATCAGCCTGTTGGATACAGGCGACATGAATTCTCACCATTTTGAAGCCAGAAACATAGGAAAAACTACAGCGGCAGTCCTAGGACTGGCTTCAACTTGACCACGCTCCAAAAAGCAAGGAAAAAAACCTTAGCACGCCCCCCCCCCCATTAAGGAGGCTGCCCTATCCTGAAGCAAACCATGCCCCTCTTGTTGTCAAGAACGCCACTACACAAACGGGCCCAGGAAATCAGCAGGAGTCAAGCTCAACTCAAAGGGAACTTGATTGGAAGAAAATGCATCAGACATTTCAAGGCAGCGTTTGCTAGAATGATTGGTGAGAGAACACCTGTGCCCCTGGATACCCACCACTATAGCGAGCAGAGATTAAAGCCAGAAAGATTTGCTGCACGGCTGGTACAGGGGAGTATTTCTGGACTTTTTTTAAAAGGGATTGAAACAACTGCTTGGCTGGGGTTAGTTAGCTTGATAGTCCATCCATGCAACCCACCTTCCAAAGTCAGCAAACATGTACCTAGAGCAGTGTTTCTCAACTTCAGCAGCTTTAAGATGGGTGGACTTCATCTGGCTGGGGAATTCTGGGAGTTGAAGTCCACCCATCTTAAAGCTGCTGAGGCTGAGAAACACTGACCTAGAGCATTTCATTCCCCAGCATAAAAAACAGTGAATTAGGAACTATGTCCAGGCAAAAAGGGGGCAGCTTTCCTTATTATAGACTGCCAAAATAGCTAACTAATATTTTTGTATCTTAGACCTAGGAGGATTATTGGCTCTTAGCCTTCCTTGGACTAAGCTGTTTGCTCACCCCATCTAAGGAACAAGAGATGGGAAGCACAGTTTACGGCTATTTAAGGGTAGAGAGTAAGGATAATGACCCTGATGGGGCTATGCAGAATTGCTGCCTAGCCTAGGCAAAAGGGGCTGAATTTTTTTTTTTTTTTAAATCCAGAGCAATGACGTAATGTTCATTCTGCCATAAAGACTAACCTCGTTCAGATGGATCTCAGGGCCTTTTGCCAAGTTAAGCCACCTGCTTAACTCAAGAGAGCTGGGATTTAACTGCCATGTCCTGGTAGTTATGTCACATCATGTTCCTCACTAAGGAAGATGAGAAGGACTGGCTCCTTTATAGCTATGCTGGGGGTGGGCAAAGGGGAAGTTTTCCCTGGCCCCGGTTGCAGGGAATTAAAGTGGACACTCCGGTGTCCTCCTACTTCTCTTCCAACATCTCCTTCCTTCCCTACTAGACTGAGATCCCACCATCCTAGCCCTGCCTCAACGATATAATTTCAAAGATTAATTGCTACTTCAATAAGTAATTGAAGAATTGCTGATCTAATTCCCCAGATTATTGGGGAGGGGGGAGAGAAACCTAAGATAATGCAGATTGCCCAGACCACAGGAGAACTCCAAGATTCGGGAAGACGTTCTTGGTAACTCCACTACATCCATCTGCCCCTGCAAATCTTTTTCCCACTAACTGCTGAGCTTCCTAGGAAGCCAATGGGGTGGCCCAATTTATGCCCTGCAAGTTTTGTGATTAAAACACAAGCTGGTAAGAAATGTGGAGCAAATCCCTAAATCACAACAGAAGAGTGTTTCAGGCCTCCACAAAATTACCTCCAGCTGTGCAAACCCTACTCTTAGGGGGAAAGAACCCTACTGAGGGAGAGCTGAGAGGCCAAGCAACGTGAAAAATCATAAAGGCAAGAGAGAAACACAAAGATCTCAAGCTTGCCATGCTCCCTGGCATGAAATAGCATCCTTCACATCTGGCTCATAATCTGAGAGCAAGAGCACAAATGCATACCTGGGAGGGAAAGCAAAGGAGGTGTGTATTTCGTATTGCTTTAAACCATTCAGCTCTCTTTCAGGGGTGAGGGGTTTCCACAATTAATAGCGACTTATTAAGCAGAGGAGAGGACAAACCCACCCAGCTTTAGGACAACCTCCAGGGTGGCCCTCAGATCATTTTGCAGCCTGGGAGCGCCTAACCCACCCCATTACACTGCAGTAATTAGGTTCACTAGAGCAGTGTTTCTCAACCTTGGCCAATTTAAGGCGTCTGGACTTCAACTCCCAGAATTCCCCAGCCAGCATGGCTGGCTGGGGAATTCTGGGAGTTGAAGTCCAGACGCCTTAAAGTGGCCAAGGTTGAGAAACACTGCACTAGTGTAAGGAAAGTTGGCAAGGCAATTTTTCATTTTTAAAATTCAAAATAGAAAAAAACATGGTGTTTAGGCTCTGCAAGGTTTTGATGAGCCTGTTTCCTTCAATTGTCTCTCCCTCCCCCCCCTTAAAAAAAAAAAGCCAAACGTTTCAGCCCTGCTCCCTCTGATAACAGTAGCACATCGTCCCAACCCCTCCTGTGATGCTCAGGTCTCTCCCCCAATTAAAAAAGAAAAACAGGCCAAAGAGTTAACCCCCCCGCCCCGCTTCCCCTCAGTTAGCATTATTAGTGGCCAAAGTCTTTCATCTTTCTTTACTGCGGTCCAAGACCAGTACAACATCACTTAAAACAAATCAGTGCAATACAGAAATAGAATAGTATTACAGCAGTTTAATATAGGGTGTACTTCTATTTTATGTGTGTGTGTGTGTATAATTTATTTATCTATCAAATTCGTCACTGCCCATCTCATTGAAATGACTCTATTTTTATTGAAGAAATTTTTAACAAGATAAAAGCAATACAAATATTAGAAAAGAAACAAAGAAAGACAAATAGTGAATAAGAGAGAAAAAGAAAAAGAAAAACGAAAGAAAATATTATAAAGAAGAGGCTTCCTATCTGGTTATAAATGCATTTATATTTTACTCTCTCTTTCTAAGATTATGTCATAATTTCCTTCTTCCATAATCTATCCTTCCTAATCATCAAACCCATACATCACAAATTCATTTTTTTTCTTCTTCAGCAAAAAGTCTGTAAGGGTTTCCAGTCCCTAATAAATGTAATAGTTGATCTTTCTCTAAGCAAACAAGTTAATTTTGCTATCTCTACTAGTTCTATCATCTTCACCAACTATTCCTCCATTGTGGGTATTTCAGAGTCTTTCCATTTTTGTGCATTAGGATCTCACAGCAGTGATCATATATAAAAATAGTCTTCCATGGCTCTTTTCTAGTTGTCTGTCCATTAATCCCAACAAGACAAGTTCTGATTTCAGTTGAATCTTAGTCTTTAAAATTCTTTGTATCAGTATATGTATTTGAACCCAAAATGTTCTGGCTTTTTTACAAGTCCACCAAGCATGATAAAATGAACCTCTGTGTTGCCCACATTTCGAACATAAATTTGAAGTACCCCTATACATTCTAGATAATTTTTCTGGAGTCATATACCAACAGTACATCATTTTGTAGAAATTCCCTTTTAAATTTTAACATAATGCAAATTTCAATCCTTTCGATCACATTTTCCCACTGTTCCAACAATATGTTATGTCCAAAATTCTTTGCAATATAGGGTGTACTTTTATTAACTGGATATGACGTAGCCTTATGGCTAAGGCACAAAGCTTAGCAATTAAAAAGGTGGTTTCAGGACACCTGTCTCTTAGAAAAATTGTAGGTAACCCGGCAGTGGGCAGCTTTTCCATTAAGAGCGAATTAATTGAGGGTGCAGTTTTGCATGGAATGTACACCTTAGAAAGGTAGCCAATGTCAGCTTGAAATGTTTCAACCCCACCCATGATCCCAGAGCATTCATTTGCTTCCATTAATTCAGAGTAACTTCCACCCAGAAATTGCATCACTGAGACAAGAAGTACATTGATTGGTCCAACATGATTCAACAAACCAGCCAAACCAGAGACGCTGTGCCAACTTTGACACCTGTTGCAATAAAGGCCAGGTTCCCTGCTTCACCATCAAATATGGCACCTTGGAAAATGCTCCTGTTTGCTCTCCGTGTTACTAAACTGCATAAATCTGTTGTCCAGAGGAACCGAAGAACCACTCTCCATCTGAAAAAGTTCTTGTTTGTTCATCTAAAGTAGATTTTAACCAGAGGAAGTAGCTAACAAGAAGTTTGGAATGTACCTATAATTTTCATGATGGCAGAGGGGTAAGTCCCAGGCACTTGGTTGCCTGAAAAATATCCAAGACCTCCGAAGGGGATTACCAATAATTTCCAATCCCAATCACAGCAAAACCTAGACCCAAAACTGAACCTGCATAAAGTAATAACAGGGTTACACATTGCACCAAGCCATAGTATAGTTCGCTTCGTGCAGTGTCAACCATGGTTCACAAATCTTTACAAAAGCATTGAGTGTTCAACAAAACCTTGCTTAGTACAATGCATATATTTAGCTGAATTCTCCCCATGGGAAGAAAAAGGGGAAAAACAGAAACCAGGTTTTGGGGGAATTAACGAAGGGAGAAGGAATGCTGGGATGGCCACGAGGAACAGGACAGAACCTCTCCCCCCACCTCGGTTTAACCCTTTCATAAAAAGCTGAACAAAACAGTACGAGTCCAGTGTTGAAGGACCCTCAGCAACAGGAAGGGAGAGTTTAAAGGCTCCCAAATGAGTTTCAGATGGGGCCAGCCATTCTGAAACCTGAGAAACCGAAGGCGATCTACTACAACGGTTTCATTGGGCCATTCTTCACTTCTTAAGAAGGAGTTCAGGCTGGAAGGATTAGGTCTCTGTTAACATCTGGAATGGCTCTTTTCTGATTGGGGCTGGTGGAGAATGAAACTGCAGGCATCCGGTGTAACGGCTCTTTGCAAGCGTTTGTATGAGGTTATGCAGGGATAGAGCCCCGGGGCTGCCAACAAATCCAAGCCAGGGCCAGAGGAAAGTCTGCAGAAACTGGGGCAAGAAAATTAGGGCATGCTGCTCATTTTCAAAGTCAAATTGTGCTCAGAATGCTTTTATTTTGCACACATCCCCCAGCTGCTTTTTATTTGGGATAAAAAAATTCCTAAGTCATAACAGCATTAAATGCAGTCAGCAAAACCCTCCCACATCCGTCTGCCAACCCTTCTTTTCCAATGTTGCCAGCACAGCAATGCCTTCATTTTATTTCCATTGACCCCAAAGGTGTATCAACTATTCCCAACCTGATCCTGCAGTTCCTCAGTTTCAAGGCCTCATTTCCAGAAATATAACCAAGGAAACACATTGCCTTGAGACTTGGAGAGATTTCAGCTTAACACACATGAAGTCCCACGCCCAGGTTCTGCTGCAGTCCCCCTCAACCCCAGCAAAAAAACCCCAACAACCTTTGGGTGTATCTTGGGGTATATCCATATTGAAAATGTGGTCCCTTGGGCAGGCTAGCTGGAATTGCGTGAACTATTTTCCAAAACAGCTGGAGGACATCTGGATGGGACAACCTGGCATACTCCAGACTGCAATAACATTAAGCCAGTGGAGTAGGCTACTAAAAATCTGATGAAAGGTTTTCCCTCCTCACCTTTTCTAAATCATGTCTTCTTTAACTTCGACCTATTCGCCCTTTTTATCAAAGCATGGAGATTTCCAGCAGCAAGGGATAATACGCTTCTCCCAGTACGTTAACAGCAAGCTATTCCGAAAAACAGGCATTTCTTCCCAAGCTGCAACTCATTCAATCTTTACCTTTCTCGTCTTTTAACGGGATCTATCTCAGCAACTATTTCTGATTAAATGAAACATAAAAACGCTGATACCCATCTTGACAAGGCCGTGGAAACAAAACCAAAGAGAAGCAAGCCTTCCACGAACAGAGCGCAGTGGAGAAAGGAAGAGGGAAACGAAATTCTGAATCTGGCTCACATCACACTGCATTTCACCATCAGCATTACTCATAGCCGTCGGGAAGAATGGCTAGACTGTTTAAAGGTTCCTCTGAGCAGCCTCCGTATTTAGAGAGAAAACTCCCAGGGACTGTGAAGGAGATAAGGCGGCTGCACTATTCCACCTCCAATGCTAAAAAATAAAAATCCTCTTTTTCCACTAGTGCAAAAAAACCAGTCTCTTAGCAACTGAGAGATACGGATTTGGAGCCTGGCAAAAGCACGTGGTCTAGCTGCAAGAGCCAAGGATTGCCCCCCCCCACAAAACATCTGTATGGGGGGAGGGCCGAACATTAGGCACGGCTACTGTCTCATGGAAAGAGATATTGTGAAGCAGTTGGGTTGCAGATCCCTTGAAGCCACAAGGGACCAGCTGAGAGGGAGCATTTTAGGTCTAAATAAATATTGCAACACAATGGGACGGCAGAGGCTGGTGAAAGAGCAAGGTCCTTGTTTGTACTAGGCCTCTGGGGAAAATTACAGAGGAAAATCCACCCTCCAGCCCAGCAACAACAGAACCAGAGGGAGAACAACTTAAATCGGCAATGAAAAATGAGCAACTCTTCTTAGCCAAAAAGCCACCCTGCATCAAGGGAGATGACCAGCAGCCTGGTCCAGCCTCCCCACCTCTTGTCTATCTAACCAAGCTTCTGACGCCCATCGGAGCTTCAGGCAGAAGCAGGCCTGAACTGCTTACCCTGCACTGCCCGCCTTGTTCTTACAACGGGAAAAGCTGGAGATGGAGCCTGAAACCTCCAGGGGCCCAGAACGATGCCGGGACAACAGAATAAGAGCCTCTTTTCATTCATTGGCCTCGATTCTCTTCTTAAGAGGGAAAACCCTATAAAAAGCGGCCCCCTTCCTCAGGAGAAGCTTGGTACCAAAGGAATATTTCTCAAGTCAGCCACTGGGGCCGGCTTGCACCTTTCGTGAAAACCGTCGGTGCATGTGAACAACGAACAGAATTTACCCAAGATGCACAGGATGCCATCTGGCTGGGATTTGTTGCTCTCTGTCAGAATGTTCTGAATCTGTCGAAGTCGGCTGCAGCTGGGAAGAGAAACAAGAAGCAAGTTAGGGGCCGTGCTGGAAAAGGCCTGATAGAGCCAAGTCTTCAGGGCCGACGCAAGATGAATTGTTCCGATGCTGCCCTTGCATAAGCAGGTTTTTGCTTTCTGCGGATTTTGCAAAATGCTACTTCTTTGTGAACATTATGATCTCCCCACTCACACGTCTTTTCTTGCCGCTTTTGCATCACAGTTCATTGCTCAAACTCTTTCGGCACACACATCTAGCTGGGGGAACTAATCTTTTCCTGCAGCTCATGCTGGAAATGCAACCTGTTTCCTTTTAATTCAAGGTGGCCATGAGAACTCTGCATACCTCATAGTTCTCATGGCCACCTTGAATTAAAGCACCATTTGGGCCTCTCCAGCTACGGGTCTCATCCTACACCAGGGAGCTGCTATTTTGCTGGCAGCTGGAGTCCTGAGAATGGCTCTCTGCTTGGAAGCCGCCAAGGGCAGCTTCATTTCTGACTGGCCACACATTCCTTCCAAGCAGAACATAAAGCAGTGTAATGCGGCTGAGAAACCCAGCGTGGGTTCTGGATTTAAACCATGCCACGTAGCCAAGCAGGAACCCCTGCAGATGGGAGATCCAACTTTTGTTCTGAATGTAAAAGCCTCTCCCACACACAAAGCACCTTTCCATTTTTAAAAAATGTTTTCCCCCCATTGTGGGGGGGGGGAGGAATACCTTGTAAGTCAATTGTCTTTCCCAATACCTTTAAGCATATATGACTCATATATGCCAATAACTGACTTGAGCACATAGTAAAATGAGACTGCATTATAGAAGCGAGTCAGGTTCTACCACCTACATTCCTTAGCATCACATTTCTCAGATCCTTTAGTGTCCTCCTTGGGAGAGGCAGGATCACTAGACAGGGGACATATTCCAGATTTCCCACCATGCTCGATTCCTCGAACGAAGGCACTCTTACTGTCTCATCTTTCCAGTACACTTCAGGAAGGAAGATGATATGGAAATCCTCCAAGCGTGTCCAGGAATTGGGTGTGCAGCCTGTTAGGGACAGGGTTGCCTCCTCTGGTGGGAGCCTGGGATTGGAAGTAGCCAGAGGCCAATGAGACCACCAGGCTTTTATTAATGTCATGGGAAGATGACTTCTTTTACCCCTTCTCCTTGCCCGTATATATCCAAACCTGACCCACCCTCAGCTTTTCCTTTCCTAAAGATTAACGGCAATTCTGCACCGCTAACTTGTGGAACTCCCTGCCCCAAGGGGTAAGGATACCCATCCACCTGGATAGCTTTAAAAGGGATGAGAAACCTCCAGGGACAAGAAGGCAAAGCATGGCTGCAAGTTAATGTCTATTTAATCCCTTCTGAAACAGGTGCACACCCAACTATAATAGATTATGAAACGAAAGGGACTGGACTTTGCTTGGGGGGCGCATGTTTTTCTTTGCCTCTGTGCCTTTCTCCCCTCCTCTGTGGGTGCATCAGGAGGAAGGGAAGGAGGGGATCTGCAGAAGCTGACAGTTAAGCCACCCCAAACAGTTAACCATAATATTCAATACGCATTCATGAGTTACAGAAAGAGTTGCTTGGATCTGCCCATCTCTAACACAGTGTTTCTCAACCTTGGCAACATTAAGATGGGTGGACTTCAGCTCCCAGAATTCCCCAGCCAGCAAAGCTGGCTGGGAAATTCTGGGAGCTGAAGTCCACCCATCTTAACGTTGCCAAGGTTGAGAAACATTGCTCTAACATATGCTCACGAAGTCTAAGTGTTCAACCAGCAGGCATTCATCCCACTATTACGTTAGAGAGTCTGATGCGTCAGGTCACTGAGCTTGGCCTCTCGAGAGCAAGAGTCCATAAACCAGAGTCTCTGTTTTGCACGTGGAGCAGTTACAAGAGCCGTCTGGGGTGAGCAGCAGCAGAGAGGTTTCACAGTGCTTTCTAGGCTGATTCTCGACCCATATCATGCCTAAACAGCCTTAGCAGGTTATGCAAGTTGAGCCAGGCTGGACACAGGAAGAGTGGCAAGGCACCGGGCGCACAGGAGACAGGACTGGCGCCCAAATGCGCAAGACGCAGCCTGGGGAAATTCCTTTTAATGGGATGCTCTGGGAGGCACTTTTGAATCGGCCGCTCAAGTGCTTATCTAATCAGACATGTCAGGTACTACATTTTTAAAAATAAATTCTTCCCTAGGCCTGACTTCAACTGGAGAGGCAGAGGGGGTCCAAGAGTGCAGAGAAGAGCTGGAAAGATGGGGAGGTGCTTGGGGGCTAAATGCCATGAAGAACGATTAAAAGAAGTGGGTCTGTTTAGCCTAAGGAAGAGGCAGCTGTGGGGAGCTGTGATTGCAATACACAAAGGGATGTCACAGGGCAAACAGTGTGGATTTCTTCTTCAGAGCTCCCAAGGGTAAGACAAGAACCAACAAGGGGAAGCTTTAGAGGGAGATCCAAAGTCAAAATAAGGAGGAATTTCTTGTCTGTAATGGCTGTGAATCACCGTGGAGGGGGGCTCCATCACGGGAGCTTTCATGCAAAGGCTGGACAGCCACTTGTCTGATATGACAGGAGGATTCCTGCCCTGGGCAGAGGGTTGGACTAGAAGACCCCAAGATCCCTTCCAACCCCCAGAGTCTATACTCCTTGCCTTTCTTTCCACAGCTGTTGTACCTGCTAGTGGGGTGTGTGTGTGGAATATTCCCTTCTGCCTAGAGAATTCCAAGTAGTAAGAGGGATGTCCACTTTAAGATTGAGAGGCCCCTAAGCTTGGTCCACAGTAAGGCATCACCCAACTAGGGCATCCGCTGTGCTAGCAAAGCTCTACTTAACCAGCATCCATCAAAACTTGTCCCACTGCACTCTCTTCCCCACCATGGAGAAATCCATTTTTTCAGCTTAGTGGGAGCATTAGAGAACAGAGGCAACACTCGGCCACTTATTGCCCAGACAATGGCTGAGTCCACTCATTGTGTTAAAATATGGTTTAATCATGAACTGACTCAACCATAATTAGTCATCTTCACCAGAATACTCAGCTGGGGAAAGGAAACCGGTGCCTTGCACACAGGCTTGATTCACCCCATAGGCAGCCCTTGTAGACCTGCAAAATGCCCCAAAGAGACATAAGGTAAATAAAAGAATCAAGCCATCAGGCCGACTTGTTTCCATTGGGAAGTTAAGGAACAAAATGGGTGCGACTTTTCATTCAGTCATTCTATGTGCCGCTATGGGATACCCACGAGATTCAAAAATCTCACTGCCTGGGCCATCTGAACCGTGCAGTGCTTTGGAAATAATTTGGAAAAGGGTCTACAGAGACCCAAATGTAACACCTGTCTAAAACAGCTACATCTTTTGCTGAAAAAGCACAATGGCTTTAAATGGCTGCTTTAAAAAGCTGCAACAAACCCTACATTTGCAATTCTGTCCGTGGAAAAGCCCCTTTCTGGAAATAAACCCAAACCATTTTGCAGCCCTAACTAGTACTATAAACAGAAAAAGCTTTAAACAGGTAACCCAGATCCAAAGAAGGGGTCTGATTGATAGTTCCAACTTGACTGCCATATTCAGTTCTTCCACAAGATGAACTACCACCCGGTGGTAGGAGGCGGTGGGAAGCCAATGGCGGGCTGCTTCCTGTTTATGCAAAAAAAAAAAGAAGAAGAAGAAGAAGAAGAAGAAAAAAAATGCATCCCATGAGAAACACATTAGGGAAGGACTGGCTTGCGGGGACCGATAACTCAGCAGCAAGCTAATTCCGGTGGTAAGAAGCAAAAAGGAACTGGATTCTGCAGGGACTGGGAGGAAGAAACACACTTCAGCAGGCCTGTGGGTGGATGGGACAGTATTTAGGGGTGGAAGAAGGGAGAAACCACAAACGCACCAAGCTGTGCCAAAGACACTCAACAACAAAGCCAAGGGAGTCATTGACTTCATCGGACCCAGTTTCAGGAACAGGCGAACAACTGTGGCTAAACACTGCAAAGCTGAAGGCCTTTCTATGCGATGCAAAGCTAGGGAGAGCTGATCTTGGACTCTTCCCGCGTGTCTGAAGAATCCCACGTACAAACGTCTGTACGGTCATAGCCAGTTTCGCCTAGTGGTGAAGGCTCCAGGCTAGAAAGCAGGAGACGGTGAGTTTAGTCCCACCTTAGGCGCAAAAGCCGGCTGGGTGGCTTTGGGCCAGTCCCTCTCTCTCAGCCCAGCTCACCTCACAGGGCTGTTGTGGTGGGGAATAGAGGAGGAGGAAGGAGTACTAGGAATGTCCGTCACCTTGGGTTATTTATTAAAAAAAGAAGAAAGATGGGATTAAAAAATCTAAAAAAAACATTAGGAAGAAGGGGAAGCTTACCCTCTTCCAGACAAACACAACATAGGGCTGATCTGGTGGATTCTCAACATCATTTCCTGAAAGCAGTTGGGGCTCCAAATCTGTTCGATCATCCCATTTTCAAACATGGTCATAAATGGGCTTTCCATCTGCGCTCTTCACAGTCTAAACCCATCCCTGAGCCCCCTTTTTCCTGTTCGGGCTAGGCAGATCTTCACAGAAGCCATTGTTGGAGATCATGAGTGATTTCTCACAGTCACGCCAAGCCTCCATGAGATCTAAGTAGCCAACAGGCTGCCAACCAGTTCCCAGTTCATGTGCCAATGGCAGGAAGTGCAAGGAGGGTTATCTGACCCAACCAAAACCGATGATGATGATGATCAAGAACAGAGGAAAAAAGAAAGAATCTAAGCAACAGTAGGGACTGTGGATGACGAACAGAAAAGCATGACACAAGGACGGGTGAAGAGAAAGAAGTGGCAAAGAGAAACAGTGATGGATGTTCTCGGACTCCATATATAGTATATCACCCTTTAAAGAGTGCCTGATTTGGATTGAGTGTGTGAGGTTGTGTCAATCACTAATTTAGGATAGGTCCTTATCTGGTTTTAGCTTCTGTGAGGTTACTGGCTAGAGGGGTGGCCCTGGAAAAGGGAACAAACTTGAAACTTCAAAATTATGTATCTGACCGAGAATCTCCCATCTCCATCCTCAGGCTACAAGGCAAAGGAAGGAAGCTTGGAAGGCGGGTATTCCAGACTGGGCTCTGCTGAGCTAACTGGGGGAAAGTGTAAGCACAGACCGCAGCAAGAAACACGGGGCAGCAGAACAGAGGCCCATCTCAGATACACCACTTTAATGCTCCCTGAGGCTCCCAACAGCTTGGTGGTCCTTGATGGGAAACACTTTACTCTCCCAGATATGCAAAATTAAGAATTGCACAGGCCCAGCACATTTACTAGGGTTGCTGTGAACGTTGAAACCGTTATTTCTGTTTTCTGACACCCAG